GGCAGTTTATGCCTGAGGGCAATCAATCAGTTGAATTTGACAGTCATACAATAAAAAATCCAACCGCCATGACACTATTGACCCATTTAACCTTTGCTTTAAGATAACAGATAAGAGCCATTAAGACAGATCAGGTACATGGACTTTTATTTTTCTAATTTAAGAAGGAAATGTTCCAATTATTACATTTGGCTTTAGATTTATTTCACTAATGGCCTACATGTTTACCAATGAATAATCAGTTCCCATAACCTGGGAGCAGGGCCTTGTGTAATTGTTTAACCTACTCATTAAGTGTTGAGCTCAAACATTTGGAAAAATGCAAACTAAATGTTTATTTATTTTAGTTTTCCATACATGATGCATGAAAAACTCAATATTTTTTGGTGTTAATTCAATGCCATGTGGGTTAAGGACAAAGCAACTCTTTGTGGGGCTGGTATTTAGACATGTTGACTAAACAGAATCTCATGCAGGTGTTGTTTAACCTGTAACTACCTATGCTGTGTAATGCAAAAGTGGAAAAAAATGAAAGACTTATTAACATAAGTTTCTTTTAAAAGAATGATCTCTGGCACTAAGCCATGAACCTGTCCTGCTGCACAGTGCAGGTGAGGCCTCACAGAGTGGTTTAAACAAAATAAGTGCATTCTGAGTGAATAAAGGGGGAGTTAATAAGTGACAGAACCGGTTGGCCCAAGCCGCAGGAATCTGGTATTAGACAAGCGTTGTAAAGGACACCATAGGAAGTCAGTGAAGGAAATGGCCTATAGAAAAAAAGCAACTAGTTCCTATATTCCAGGTGTGTTTCAGTGTGTTACACCATTTCCTGTTACAGGTTAGGGAAAAAGTGAGAAAAAAATATGTATTTTAACTTTAAAACTGTTTCATTACCAAGAAAAGCTTCGAATTATAAATTACAATTAAGGCCTGTAAGTGTGTATGACTTTAAGGGTAGCCTGCTTATTAGGCTTATGGAGAGAGAAAAAGAAAGTATCTTCAGCCTAACATTTAACAGCTTTTTATTTGCTTATGTGTCACAATATGACTAAAACTCTCTTAAAAGTTTTGTGCTATAGAAGAAATTCGACGAAACTCAAGTTAAATCCATTAACTGGGTGACTTACTGTTGAGCTGCAGGATTGAGTCGTACACCTTGCACTGGATTTGGCCTGTGCTCTGGAAAGCACAGGACATCCACAGTCCTTCGTACATGGCTATCGCCGTGATGATGTTGTCCCCAACATAAGCAGACATCTTCCACTGGGGCAAAATTGTGCCAATTATCAGTCCAATGACACCCAGAAGGGCCAGGGCGAATCCCAAAATCTGCAGACCCGAGTTGGCCATTTTCTCCTTCTTCGACCTGGCGGCGAATCAACAAAGACGACGTCCACCTGCTGTGAAGGTACGAATCCCTCTCCTCACTATCTCACGGGGTTTAGTTAAGTTTGCTTTGTTGAATGACAAAGTTAACTCCTCTGTTATTATATATTTATGTTTTCCTTAGCTTTCTGTAAATGGGTTGGCAGACAGCGGTGTTGTTTCAGTATTTAAAGTCTGTCGGAGATTCCTCACGCACCTGTTCCTCTGCCGCACCTTATCTGGGGAGGGAGCAGCGGGAACGAGCTTTTTAAGGCGGTTTCTACTGCAGGTGGGCGGGGACGCGCACGTAGTTTCGACTCATCAGCGTCGCAGCAAACACCTGAAGTTTCATGATGTAAGTGGTTTCCTGGAATAGACCCCTGATACCATAAATAGAAAAATATGTATAGTCTGGTTTGTGATGATTTGGTTTGTATATTTTAATACAATAAACAATAAAAGAGAAAAACATCCTAAGTTAATATTGCACATGTGAAATGTATAATGAACCAACGATTTTTTTTGTTTGTTTTTTAAAGTCATATTATTTGATATTAGTGGACACCTTAAGAGCCAGCAGTAGTCATAATACTATGTCTAACCGCATCTAGTCTAACTATCAGAGGCTTGATAAGCAAAAACACAATATTTTACATTTTTATCCATCAGAATAATTACACATCAAATACAGCTAAACAATTTGACACAGCAGATGAATGAATGACTTCATTTCGAACCAAAGTTTAAAACAATATTGTGATAACAAAAAAACGCAGGAAAAAACAAAAACAGAAATGTTCAAAAAGGAGTAGGTAGAAGTAAAACTATGCATATAAGGCCAATGTATTAGGTCAGAATTATAATTCCAGCCTCCTACAAAATGGAGAAGTCGAATGTACCATCCAAAATCGAATGTACCATCCAAAATCGAATGTACCATCCAAAATGGGAAGTTGCATTAACATAAGTGGAAACTGAGTGGAATACTGAGGTCTACAATCAGGACACATGGGGCCAAATCGGACATTACTCTGTGTAATGTGATCACAAGCCATTTCACCAGCTTTTTTGTACTCATTTGAACTACTAAGTGGAGGGAGATTTAAGATAAAACAGTCTTAATAGTTTTTGATTATTGTATTGAACAATCAGCATCTAAACATGGCAACATAAGCTGGAGTATCCACTACCAGCATGGATCAGGCCTTTTACAAAACAAGGAAGTCTTTTTTTAATTTCTTGCCAGACACATTATCTCTTAAATATTATATTACATAGCACAATACCACATTCTCTCACACGTATAATTTTGCTGGCTGTGTAGTTTATCAACACGTCTATGTGTGTTGGCCATCATGTGCTTAAGTAATAGGACATATTTAGTGGCCCTCTATACACTGCTCTGACAGGAGGGTGTGCTTTATCTGACATAGGTCAGCAGAATTGAATTGAATTACACTCTGTGATGGAGGAGGTACATTTTGAAACCAGGAAAATCCAGAAAAGGCAGCAGGAGTGGCTTGCCGGCACTGAGACACAGTTCAGAGTCTAAACATTAACCCAGATCGATGGGGTAAAATGACAGTTGTGTCGGTATTGACACTGTGCATTGATGGATCCTGTTGTTATTATGATTTCATATTAAACATCCAGTTTCTTTCAGTGAAGCTATCACCAGTTGTTACTGGTGATTTCTTGTTACCACACCGTTTAGCCAGTAAATACTCTCTACTTTTAAACTGTGATACTAGTGTGATGAAATGGTTGCTGGAGTTTTAACATGGCCCTAGGCAATCAGGGATAATGCTTGCTCTATCCCAGAAGTGGTTGTCATCCACAGGCTCACTTTAGGGGTGTGTCCTGCTATCCCCATTATTGTTTATTCTGTATGCAAATGATTGTAGGAGTAACTGCAATGACAGGCATCTCCTGTCAGAGTCTGCTCCAGGATGAATGGCGTGACTTCTGAGGTTAAATGTTCACAAAATTAAAAATACAGCCGTAGACTTTAGACATAACTCCCACTCAATCTTCCCAACCATTATTAAGGGCTCACTTGTTGAGACGGTTAAGTGCAAGAAGTACCTGGGAAAAGTGATCAACAAGAACTTGAACTATGACCTTAACAAAATGAATGGATGGATGGGTGGTTTTGTCACTGACAGGCTCAGGTTTTTATTGTGAGTGTCTTACAACATGACAGGATGGACCCTACAGAGAAGTGAAATGTTTTTCTATACCTTTTGCTTGTTTCTGTCAGCTTTGTGTCTGAGTCTCACTCAAGGCAAAGTCTCGTTCTAAAATCTCATGAGAGTAGACTTATTACAGGAAGAACAGAGTAGAAATGCAATTGAGAGTTGGGGAGAGGGGTGCAGGTAATAGTTTGCTATGTTGGAGTAAAGAAAGTTTTTTCAGAGCAAGATTTCTCCTTTAGTGAGACACCAAACAGACCAGAACAAGCAAAAGATACTTTTTTAACAATTTAAAAAAAAATGTTGTTCCCACTACTTACTTACTGGTAAAATAAAGTTCTCCCTTAACGTTTTGTTTGATTTCCTTGTATGAGAACTTTACCAGTCATTTGTTCAACATTGTTTAAGTAGCCAGCAAAACAATTGGCACACAGCAGCCCTCCTTGGCAGAGAGGCTATCTATGACAGACAAGTTTTTGCAGAAGAAATGATTGATCTCAGCTTGCTTTGACCACCCACTCCACAGGAATTTGTTCCTCTCCCTTCTGGGTGAAGATAAAGCCCCTCGAGGGTGAAAAGCAGTAGGTTTGAATTTTCCTCTGCTCCAAGAACAGTAATAAATGCGCTTAATTTGCACCACACCTATTCTAACAAACAGATACATCTTGGCTGTTTGCTGTACCTGTTGTGATTAACACAGGCACAGATTTCGGGGGGGTAGGTGCAAGAGACATGTCCTCCTCAGAGTGAAATTAAAGACATTTCCACAATAATTTGATGCAGAAAAGGCACAAATTGGTGCAGAAGAAATACCACAAATAAGGAAATTAAGTTTTTGACATTAAAAATAATGTCCTGAGGGCGTACAACTAAACTTCCTGTTTCAAATGTTTCAACTTTCTCCTCAAGGGTCAATAAAGATTTGAACTTAAGGTATGAGTCAGGTTTTCTGATATTCTGCAGAGTCTGGTTTAGCTGATACCTGAAACTGTGTTGACTGAAGAGTTAGACTGGAGAATGTATGACTGAGGTGTTCGCTGTAAAGAATGAGATAGACCACAGTATCCTTGATCACGATACTTTCCAGTAGATCTTCTCACTCAGGTCAGGAGAATGTGTTTGTACCAGTCAGCTCCCACTGACTGTATTTATTATTTGTAATGCTCACTTCCCCATTAGACATTTTTATGGACTAGTGCGGTTAAAAAAAAAAAACAAAAAAAAAAACAGAACTTCTATTTTCCTGTTCTGTAAATAATATGTGGTTTGTTTCACTGTCAGGTTTGTGCCAACCCTTTTCCATTATTTTAAATTCTTACTTTTCTTATTACTAATCACATGCTCACTTATGGGCACTGCCACAACCACTACAACAAAAACTTTCAGTAGAATCCTTCAGTAGAGTAAACACCTTCCTCCTGACACAGCAAAAGGTGGAGATGTAAGAGGCTGTGAGTTTAATTTTCAGGAGCACTTTGCCCCGAGGGAGAATAGCTTTCAGATGACAGTTTGCTCTCACCAGTTCATTATGACATGAGAGAAAATCCCTGGACTTCAGTGTCACTCTTTAACTGATAGAGGTAAAACCTTGTGATCTTGTGCTCTGGTTTTTCCTGGATAGTTGGATTTTCAAATTAAATATTTAAATGTTTACAATGGTGACATTTTAAATGTAGGTATATTTTAATCTGATTGAATGGTGCCTGTAAGAATCAGTTTCTCTTTGACTTGATTTCTGTTACACAGCTACATTATAGCCTGGCAGTAGCTTCAGAGTTACTCTGGGAGTTGATTCAGTGCCTTTACCAATCAAACAGGTTTTATTTGGCACCTGCTGGTATCTATGCAGTTATTAAAAACACTGAATATGCCACCATGAGCAATCTCCATGTACGAGCGAGCGAAACAAGCACAGGCATGTGAACTTTTTACAAATTTTTACTTGACTGCATAGCATATAAACATATATACAGCAATCTTCAGGGTTCAAAACTACTACGATACTTGCGCAACATCGGTATTTCTTGGATTGATACCCACAGTCACTCTCTGAGTCATCAGTTGCTGCAGGTAAGACACAGGAAGTAGGACCTAAATATTTTTGGCTCGTCACATGTTTATTGACCAGTCAGGTGACTCATCTGTAGAGAAACAGATACAGATACTGCATGAAATAATTTACATGTGTTTATTCTGCTTCTCAGGGTGTGTCCACTGAAGGTCAGCTGTCTCTGTCCTCTTCAGGAATTTATTCACAATGCTCCTAAAGGTAAATTCAAGGTCACTGACACAAAAATCTGAAGTTTTATTAAGGTTTGTACTGTATTGTTGGCTGAGCCAAAACAACAACAACAACAACAACAACAACAACAGAGGAGCAGTTACTGTATATCCATTTCTAAAAAGTACATTTGTTTTAAAGTTGGATCATGTTGGTCTGTGGGCAATGTAATTTCATAGAATTATTCACACTATTAAAGTTGTTCCCTGGCAGCTAATTAGATGAAGCTTAATCTGACTGTTACTGAAGTTATTACCTGCCTGAAAATCTTTCCCCGAAATTCCTTTTATATTTTCAGTCATAATTTTTTTCTGATTAGATGTTTTCCAATTAGGATTTAACCCTGCCTTCTGACAGTTGTGTATTTTGATGCAACAGTAATGACTCATTGTAATCCTTCAACCCTGAGTGTGCATGTTGCACCATGATTCCATGAGAGCAGGCTGTAGGACGAAAGGTTACATGAGGCTAACAAACATAGATTTTAACTGCAATGCTGTCATCTGGTGGTGACTGTGAATATAACACAAAGCTATAGACAGCCATTTTAGCTCCCAGTAACTGGCAGCATGATATTTACACATTCTGTACAAATGGACCATGTCTGAGGGCAATTTCAAGAAGATAATAGCAAAAAAATATGCACTCTTATATTAATAGTGCATAATTATTGTTTGTTTGAGATATTAGATTATAAAAATTTAAATGGACATGCATTGTACTGTAAAGTACAGTAAAACAGAATAATAATAATAAAAGCACCATCAAATCCAAATCAGATTACAGGTTTCTTTGTACAGGAGCAACAAAATAACCAGTGATGCAAAACACAAGGGGTAGTGAGACCACATATGTTATAATGCTTTGAAGACAAAACAATGGAGGTTGTTCCTTTAATTTTATTGTACTTTTCTGTTCTATTTTGAACCATTACTGTCTGTGTTTTACCAATGCTTATGCGTATACAAATGTGATTCAATTTTGAATATTTCCTCTAATCAGAAGTCTCAATTCAAACATGAGAGACACTGGTGGATAAAGCAGTTGTCAGCTGTAAAAAACAAAACAAAACAAAAAACTGTAATGTAAACTGTAAGCTGTGGGACACAATCAACAACAATTGAACAGTTAGAAATGTTTGAATTATATCGTAAATATAGACAGTGCAGGTACGGGGTTGCACTGGAGCATTTGGGGTGTGGGCGCCTGTAGAAAGTGAAGAGTGATTCAGATTGCCACTTCAGAAATGTGACTGTAATAATAACATAAAAAAAACATTAATTTATACAAATCATTTCTTATTTTCTATGGTATTTTTTGTCATGTACAGATAATGAACTAACTGTAATAATTGTGAAATTAACTGACACAGCTACCATGACGTCACCCATTGGTTTGTGGACTCCTGTTTTGGAGCCTGGACTTCAGCATTTCGGCCGTCACCATCTTGGTTTTTTGGAGCCAGAAGTGACCAATTAGGGCAAGAGGGTGGAGCTGTGGAGCAGCTGAGGACACTATCACCAGACAGCCTGTCACTCAAAACAGCCTGCCCTTATTAATGCGTAACTTTAAGACCTAACAAAATGTAAACAGGTATGTTTTACATAAAAACTCAGCAAACAGCTATAGAGATCCAAACTGTTTTTTGTACCAGGCTGTAAACATGTTTATTTCTGCTGTAAAGTTGGATATTGTAACATGGTGGTCTATATAGTGTTGCTTTCGTCAACAAAAAGTATGACTAAATATCGTCGTCAACGAACCTTTATCACGTGATGAAAATGAGAAGAGACGCAATGTAAATGGTGGTCATGTGACGATAACTATAATTAAATATATAACGCAATATTGTTGACGAATAAAAACGAGACTAAATGTGGTTTACAAAAAAAAACCTCTGCTAAAATGTCTCTTCATTTTTGTTGACCAAAACGAGATGAGATGAAATAATGTTATAATGTTTAGTCGTGTTATTATTATTATTTTGCAGTATTTCTGTGTCCTAGGCTGTGCGTCGCACTGCACAGACGGATTACAGCCGTGACGATATACAGTACAACATCACTCGCTCTCATGTGATATTGCTTTTATACAACAGTTCAACAACAGCTTAAACAGCAACGCTGAGTAAGGAAATGTTAACAAAAGGTGATGAAATAAATTATTTAAGTATGTTATGTAGCTCCGCGAAAAAAAAAACATTTCCCCCAGTCTGTTGCCAGGCAACGTGGCACACACACCAGGAACTCACAAGCTACTTTGTATTTTCATCGATCTGCAATTGTGTAACTTCATCTAGTTCGGCTGATGAGACGTTGGCAAACCTGGATGTTGGCACGGCCGGATTCAGCTTCAACTCTCCCTCATCCTCATCAGTACCTCATCAGATGATCATTGATAATTCCTGACCGTGTTCGCTTCATTTTTGCTCCTCTCCAGTTTGTCAAGGTCGGCTGATGTTACACAAACACACCTGGAGGTCTGCACAGAAGGGTCCTGGCTTTCCTTTTCCTCGTCCTCTCCTGATGACCTCTCATAATTTAATTCAAATGTAATTTTGGGGAAAATATCCATCTTCTTGGTGTAACGCTAGTGTCGGTTTGTGTCAATTAATGGCTGTATTTATATTTATTTACACGGCTCTATTAAATGCTGTATTCTGATTGGTCAGTCGCGGCATTCAGAGGTCTGATAATACTGTGTAATGACCGTTGCTATGTAGCCCAGCGTTGCTAGGGACGCTGCCCAAGGAGATTCAGCCGTTGCCGGCAGGGCAGGGTGTGCGTCGGGGTTCTATTCCCCTGTCGGGAGTTATTTTCTCAGTATTCACCAGCTCATTATACATTATCCCTTACTTATAACACCTGTGAGCGGAGTGATTTTACTGTTACAAGTCCCAGTGATGTTATACTCTATATCAGCACTCCCGGAATGCCTCTTGTCCAATCAAATTACTCGGTCGGAACTAACTGTTTTATAAATAAATATATATTTAGCTCTAACTGGGAGCTAATTTAGAAAAGAAAATTCTGGTTTGGTTATTCTATACTAGGTACTTATACTATATTGACTGGGTATAATAGAATTGCATCACTAAAAAGAGACTAAAATACATTTTTCATTGACTAAAACTAGACTAAAATGTCATCAGTTTTCGTCGACTAAAACGAGACGAAAATAGTCATGGATTATTCTGACTAAAATAAGACTAAAATGTTCAGACTTTTAGTTGACTGAAACTTGACTAGACAAAAAAAGAGTATGAACGTGACTAAAACTAATAAAAACTAAAATGGCAGTTTGACACAAAGACTAGACTAAAACTAAAATTAAAACAGGCCGCCAAAAACAACACTAGGTCTATGGGGATTGACTGGCTTCTGGAGCCAGCCTCAAGTGGCCATTAGAAGAACTGCAATTTTTGCACTTCTCCATTGGCTTCATGTTTTCGCTTGGTACAGATATGCAAAGATGATTGCTAAATAATATGTATGTTGATGCTGTCCAATGTAAAGTCTCTATTTGAACATTTAATGACATGATACAAGATTCGATGGCTATTTTAGCAGCAAAATCTGGCACTAGGGCCAGTGAAAATAGCATGCACAGGGGCCTGTCACAATTATGTTACGCCATTGATCTAAATGTACATGTATTTAAAAGTATTCCTTAACTAGAGGAACACATATGTTATCAAGTCTATAATCAACACTGGGGTGGGGGTTGAGGTTACCAAATCTTCCATGGGGTCTGGGGTGCCCCTAGGAAAAAAAAAATCATAATTTAAAAACTCATTTCCTACAATATTATATTATTTACCAAAAGCAAGCACAGCAATACAGTATACTATACAGATATCCAATAAATAAAAGCCATTTCTGTCTTACTAACACATGCAGTGCAACATAAATGATTGATACTTTACACATACTTCACATGGGCTATCTGGCAAATGTAATAAAGACAATAAAGTTAGTTGAATATGCTATGAGCTGTGGTCTGCTGGGGTATGGCAACTCCATTTGGACAAATGCAGAGCTGCAGAATAATACATCATAATTACTGTCTTGTATATTATGTATAATGTCTTGATTACAGCTGCAGCTGTGAAGTGCTTGAAATGATCCTATACTTATTTAGTAGCTAAGCAGAAAAACTGTGATGCTCAGGGCCTCATTCTTCCAATTCGAAAATAACTGCCCTGTAAGGTGCCTTTTATCAAGAATATCCACCAAACAATGAAATCAAATTAGAATGGTATTTGATTGACGACACTCATATACAGTTTTGATTGTTGATTATTTGCATTATTTGCAAGTGCACTGAAAAAAAGGTGGCTTTATTCCTGAAGATTTGCCAAATGATGTTTCACTCTGCACCTATTGTAGAAAATGAAAAAGAGTTTTTAATCATCAAATTAAAAAATCAATGATCATATACATGCTGCTCATTTGCAGGGACTAAGTGTAATTTGGGACTTGACAGCCATTATCCTTTGCTGACATTATGTGACATCTTTGTAAATTATTTTACAGACTCCAGTTATTTCTCTCTTTCTCTCTATCTATCTTTTTATTTAATCAATGAAATAATTACTTATTAAAATTCTTTTTCATCAAAACATTTGTTTTAGTTGTTTCTCTTAGCCTTGAAAATGAACGATGGAATACAAAATGGCTTTTGTTCATCGCAATTATCAGTTGTTTTGATTGGTATTACAATAGTTTTTCATTGACATATTTTGTTTTGTAGCAATTCCATCATTTTGATATTTATTACCTTCACCTCCTCGCACTTCAAGTGACTTTGTCAATCATTTCATGATTATTTACCATCCATCTGATGCAGTGTTATTGACATTAATATCAATGAAAGAGCAGATGATTGTGTGTAGTCAGATAACATTCAGAGCTTGGAAAAACATAATTAAATGCAACGTGTGCATATCAAACCTCCAAGGTTGTGATTTTCCCACATTTGTTCAAATTTAGCATGTACATGCCTATAACGGAAACATGCGCACGCTCAGGGTAATTGGTTCCTCCAGCTATCGTGAGAACTATATTTGGTTTAATGCCTTAATCCTTATTTGCCGCATTAAGAAATATAATGCTCTATTCAGTCTGAGTGCAGACTGCTTCTCTCTGTGTGGGTTTACTGAGAATAATCTTATATAAATGCAAGAGTCATGCTTCCATGAGATTTGAGATGCCCCAGTAAAGCACAGGGAGGATCAGAGGAGGAACAAGGGCTGTCTGACCCTGACTGAGGTCACGTCTCAAAGGGGAGCTCGTTGTGAAAGTCAGTGACAGCCCAGAGCGCGCAATAATCTGCCAGATCAGATGCTGCTCAACTTCAGCTTGTTCTAGAGTTTGACTTGTAGCTTAATTATCCCAGTCTGTGGGACACGAGCCATCATCCATTTACTACGGTTATCACTGAGAGATTGTAATGTCTAATGGACTGCTGGGCTGTGAACTACAAGTAATTGCAGCTATTTATCTATCTGATACCTTTTAAATAATCGTGGTTCTTTAAAAAGACTCCTCAGGAGATCAAACACATGTTTGTTAATCTCGGACCAGATAAACACTGTTTAATGTCTGGGCAGATTTACATTAACCTTTTCATACACCATGCCAATTTCCTTTATACGCTGCATGTATATGTGCCATTTTTGTTGGGGGGGGGTTGCTTGCAGAAATGGGAAGAAGATGATGAGGGAATTGTCAAAGGTCATGAGCCAGATTTGAGTCCACTTTTAAAGATGATGACAAAATTCTATACGATTATGGCCGGAGCAATTAGTTTTACCAAATAAATGTATTAAATGTGATAGTGCAGAGATCAGTGTGGCTGCAGGCTTTATACACTCACTGGCCACTTTATTAGGTACACCTGTTCAACTGCTCATTAATGCATATAGCTATTCAGCCAATCTGCTGAAGTTCAAACCAAGCATCAGAATAAGGAAGAAGGTGATTTAAGTGACTTGTGCATGGCATGGTTGTTGGTGCCAGATGGGCTGGTCTGAGTATTTCCAAAACTGCTGGTCTACTGGGATTTCCACGCACAACCATCTCTAGGGTTTACAGAAGATGGTCTGAAAAAGAAAAAAATATCCAGTGAGCAGCAGTTCTCTGGGCGAAAATGCCTTGTCGATGCCAGCGGTCAGAGGAGAATGGCCAGACTGGTTCAAGATGATAGGAAGGCAACAGTAACTCAAATAACCACTTGTTACACCCAAGGTCTGCAGAAGACCATCTCTGAACCAACAACACGTCGAACCTTGAAGCAGATGTGCTACAGCAACATAACACCACACCGGGTGCCACTCCTGTCAGCTAAGAATAGGAAACTGAGGCTACAATTCACAAGGGCTCACCAAAATTGGACAATAGAAGATTTGAAAAACATTGCCTGGTCTGATGAGTCT